CTTTAATCTCCTATTTTTCTTGGTTCGCCCCTTCAATAACAACAATAATAATAATAATAATAATACCCTGCCCATTGGGCTGGGTTTCCCCTGCCACTCTGGGTGGCTTCCAACAAAATATTAAAATACAATACTCTTTAAGATACTAAAAGCTTCCCTAAACATCTATCACAACCCTTCATGTTAACTCTAGTTATTTCTTACACTCCTGAGAACATTACCATCCTAATAGGTCAATTTTCTGTTTACAACACTTTTTCATATACACAATAAAAATATTCAATTCTCCTTATATCTTTTATCATTTTGATTTCTTATTCCCCATGATTTTAAAGTGGAAGGAGACTTCCAAAGGCAAAAAATTCCTTGGTGAGCTAATTTCTGTTTATCAGTTGATTAGCAGAGATTAAATCATGCTGCCCAGGTGTGTGGTGCTGTTATCTGCTGGGAACAGGGCTGGACAGCCAGTGCAGGATTAAACCTTGTCCTCCTGCCCATCAGCTGTCACCACCAGTCATGTCAGCTGATCGGTATGTCATAAGAATTCTAAGGTGTCATAAATAAAACGCATGTTCGCACGTGCACAAGGTAACACACATACGTAAGTACATAAACCACATGTCTGAAATAGCACAGAGAGCAATTCAGCAGCTATGTTTAGCCCCTAGTCAACCTCAGAGACCCCCTCAGGTCACATAGCAGGAAATTCCTGATACCTGAGCTGCTTTGACAAGTATCTGTTAAATGGCCAAGCTGACCTGTCAAAAGGGCAGATATCAATGTATGCATGAAACAATGGATTCAGGAATCCACAATGGATTCAGGAGTCAAGCTATCCACCATTTCAAAAGGCAGTCTCAGACAGGCCAAGAGATTTCACCACCTCTGAGGGAGTCCATTCCACTGTTGAACAACTCATATTGTCAGAAAGTCCTTCCTGATGTTTAGTCAGAATCTCCTTTCATGTAACTGGTTCGGGTCTTAGCCTCTAGAGCAGCAGTAAACAAGCTGGCTTCGTGTGACAGCCCTTTAAATATTTGAAGATGGCCATCATTTCTCCTCTGCTCCTCTCTTCAAGGCTAAACATACCCAGCTACTTCAACCATCCTTCATAAGGCTTGGTTTCCAGACCCTTGATCATCTTGGTTGCCATCCTCTTCACACGTCCCAGCTTGTCAACATCCTTCTTAAACTGTGGCACCCAGAACTGGACAGTACTCCAGGTGTAGTCTGAACCAAGGTGGAATAAAGCAGTACTATTAGTTCCTTTGTGGTTCGAATCCCCGCGGCGCGGTGCGTTCCCGTCGCTCGGTCCCAGCGCCTGCCAACCTAGCAGTTCGAAAGCACCCTCGGGTGCAAGTAGATAAATAGGGACCGCTTACTAGCGGGAAGGTAAACGGCGTTCCGTGTGCTGCGCTGGCTTGCCAGATGCAGCTTGTCACGCTGGCCATGTGACCTGGAAGTGTCTGCGGACAGCGCTGGCCCCCGGCCTCTTGAGTGAGATGGGCGCACAACCCTAGAGTCTGTCAAGACTGGCCCGTATGGGCAGGGGTACCTATTAGTTCCTTTGATCTGGACCAGGGGTCAGCAAACTTTTTAAGCAGGGGGCTGGTCCACTGTCCCTCAGACCTTGTGGGGGGCTGGACTATATTTTGGAAAAGAAAAAAAAAAGGAATGAATTCCTATGCTCCACAAATAACCCAGAGATGCATAGCCAGATGTCCCACATCTGATATTTGTGCAGCTGGTTATTCCTGCCTAAGTTTACAGCCCTACATTGAACCCTATTGAAATTCATTTTGTAGTTTAGGCCCAGTTCTCCATTGTATTAAGGTCATATTGAATCTCAATTCTGCCTTCTGTGGCATTAGTTACCCCTCCCTATTTGGTGTTATCTGCAAATTGGATGAGCATCCCCTCAATCCTTCATCCAAGTCATTTATAAAGATGTTGAACACCAACAGGCCCAGGACAGAACCCTGTGGCACCCCACAAGTCACTTTTGCCCAGGGTGGTGAGGAACAATTACGAGCACACTTTGGAGCACATATTCGTGAAGCCATTCCAGATCAGAATGCGGACTCAACCGGATCCTATACTATCTAGGATATGCACTACATCTCACATGGATTGCCAAAACTGACACTGCTGACATGGGTTGCCATACGTATGATTTTCCCAGACATTTTAGGGATTTCCTACCATACACTGCTTCTGACTGCAGTATTCCAGATGGGTCCAGTAAATTCCGGATGTATGGCAAGCGTACTTTTAATCAATGTACAGTGGTACCTCGGGTTAAGTACTTAATTCGTTCCGGAGGTCTGTTCTTAACCTGAAACTGTTCTTAACCTGAAGCACCACTTTAGCCAATGGGGCCTCCTGCTGCCGCCGCGCTGCCAGAGCACGATTTCTGTTCTCATCCTGAAGCAAAGTTCTTAACCTGAAGCACTATTTCTGGGTTAGCAGAGTCTGTAACCTGAAGCCTATGTAACCTGAAGTGTATGTGACCTGAGGTACCACTGTATATTTATGTATACACTGATTAAAAGTACGGTTGCCATACACCCGGAATTTCCTGGACACATCTGGAATACTGCAGTCGGAAGCAGTGTGTGTGTGTGTTTATGCATATGTATTTCGAGTGAAGTGCAGAGTGTCTGAGGACCGGGACATTCTCAGGGAAACCAAAATGCTTTTGTAAAAAAGCTATTGTAAAAGCTATTGTACTACCAACCTTACTGTATGCTTGTGAAACATGGACCACTTATAAACGCCATCGCCAACTCCTCGAAAGATGCCATCAACAGTGTCTCTGAAAAATTTTACACATCACTTGGGAAGACAGGCACCCTAATACCAGTGTACTGGAAGAAGCAAAGATCACCAGTGTTGAAGCAATAATTCTTCAACATCAATTTCACTGGAATGGTCATGTTGTGGGGAAGCCTGTTTATCATCTTTCAAAGCAACTACTCTATCCTGAACTTAAAAATGGAAAGTGTAATGCTGGTAGTCAACAAAAGAGGTTTAAAGACTCTCTCAAGGCAAACCTTAAAAAATGTAGTATAAACACCAACAATCGGGAAACAGTTGCCTGCAATGCTCCAATTGGAGAACAGTCTTTACCAAAGGTGTCATGGGCTTTGAAGACACTCAAACTCAGGATAAAAGGGAGAAATGTGCTAAGAGGAAGGCACGCTTGGCAAACCCTCACCGTGATCAACTCCTGCCCGGAAACCTATGTCCCCCCTGTGGAAGGACGTGTGGGTCCAGAATTGGCCTCCAGGGTCACTTACGGACTCATTGTTAAAACCTGTTTATGGAAGACAATCTTACTCGGCTACGAGTGATCGCCAAAGAAGAAGAAAGCATATTTATTTCAAGTGTTTCATTATCTCTGGTGTCCTGAGAATATACCATCGGTGAGAACGATGTGTTTTTGCATTAAAAACTGGCACTTTAGTAAAAATTGCCAAAGATTTCTAATGCTATCAGTTTACCTGTTGGTTTCCCAGTTCTTCTGAAAATGCCACTGTGGTGTAGAGTGTGGTCTTCATCCATGGAGACCTAAGTTTGAATCCTTACTTGGCCATGAAGCTCACTCTTTTGTGATCCTGAGCATGCTGCATTCTCCCTTAGCCTAACCTACCTTCCAGGATTGCTGCAAGGATAAAATGAAGCAATACAATTGGCCCGCCTTTGAAAGGATCAGATACAAATAAAAATGCAGTACTCCAGTATTTAAGAATGTATGGTGAACCTTTTCCATCAGACAGTGGCTCAACTAGCCAAGCATCTTGTTCTCCAGTGGCCAAGCATATGCCTTTAGAACACCTGCAAGTGAGATCTGAGTGCAGAAGCTTCCAGCAACTGATATTGTTGTAAATAAAAATATGCCCCTTTCCTTTATGGGGTATCCAAGAGCCCATATAGAGTCCTTACATAGGTTCCCTATTGGTAGGAGAGAATAACAGAGGCCAACCAGAGAATATTGAGAAGCAAAGCAGCTAGTAAACTTGATCTTTATTGATCTGTTGCAACAGGGTGCTCCCCTCACTCACAGGAAAGGAGGAGGACCCACAAAAATGCTGTGCAAGGGCTTATAAAGACTTTTGAAATTTCCATCCTGTAGATCAAGACCACCCCCAGAAACATTATGCATACATCACAGAAGGGGTGTAACCTAAGACCACCCCTCAGATACATCCCATCTACATCACAGAAATTTAAATGTTGTTTTCCTCTTGTCCTTGTTTATTTCCTGTCTGGCAGGTTACTTGATTGGATTGCCTTGGGAGCCTGGCCATTCCTTTGTAATGATAAGGCTCACACCCTTATTCAAACACAGATTAAGACAGGATTTGTGAAGGAAGAGACAATGGGGAGGCTTTTCCATTATGACCTTGCAGAGAAAACATTTGGTCAGTTTAGGAATCAAAATGGTTCCAGGTTCGTCTTCCTGTGGTGATCTATGTACCGGGTATGTGCGGTTATGAATATTACCATATATCTAAGACCATAAAATTCCTATCACAATATCCAGAAGCACACTGCCTCAAAAACAAGGGTAGAATATCTGTTACCGATATTCTCAGTGCTCCCAAATACAGTCATACCTCATGTTACGCTCGCTTCATGTTACGTTCTTTCTGGTTATGTCCCGCAGCAACCCAGAAATACTGGAAATGGTTACTTCCAGGTTTCGCCACCCGCGCATGTGCAGGCGCGCAAAATTACATCACGCACATGCGCAGAAGCGGCGAATCACCACCTGCGCAGACGCGCCGCTGCAGGTTGCGCTCTTTTCATGTTGCGAACGGGCCTCCGGAACAGATCCCGTTCTCAACCAGAGGTACCACTGTGCAGCGGCCATAGATGAACACAAACATGAGCTGAAACCGGAATGATTCAAAGTTCTTTGGCAAGTTGTTAACACTTAAATAAGAGTTCCCGGCCTAAGTCAAATGCATAACAAAATTACCATTCCACTCTGGTTCTCAGATCTTTAAATGTGTGTTTATTGATTTGAGCCAATGTGACATGGATTTTATCTTACAGGAATCTGAAGCTGGTTGGAGTTAATGACAAAGTATAATCAACACTGCGTTTTACATACTGGAGAAAAGCGAAAATGAAAAGTAAACGCCACAATCCGTTTTAAATAAAAAACCTTCAAACGTAATCCTTCATATGTAAGAAATGGGTATGTTGAGAGCCCATGAACGTCGGTTAAAGACCAGCAGCAGCATTGGGGGGAGGGGGTAGATCATAGTCTCTTTCAACATCCGTTATATTTCCCCAAGCAGAGATGAGGGAGGGAATACACTGGTGCACACAATCGCACACGCAGGCATGCCCTGACTCACACCGGACTTGCCTGACCTGTAAGAATTCGGAATGTGACTCTTGAAGACATCCTGAAAGACAGGAAGGCTGAGGAAACGGAAGTGGAGCCAACTGAAATTTGTACTGGAAGGAACTTGGCATACTAAGCAGAACCAGTCTTCCCACAAGGAGTGCATCCAGGCACACCGAAACTAACAAGTATCACTCCAGCTATTTGTGTCACTTCCGCTCCCCAGCTGTGCAATTTCAATTTCAACTATTCAAATCCTTGGCCCCTGCCTAAGAGAGTTCTGGTCCACTAGGCCCCTTGCCATCTGGTGATACTCTTGTAGGAATGACGCTATAAAGCTATGAGCAGGGGGAGGAGTTAAACAGAGAAGCAGAGGCGGGCATGTCACCAGTTTCCATAAACTCAGACATTTCTCAAGAATAGGTGTCACCTAAAGAGTTCAGGATTCCAGAGGCAATCATTTTTCTTCTCCAGTCTAAGGTTATGTAGCTGCCATCCTTTGTTCATCCTTCGCCTCTCTTCTAAATATGCTCAGTTGCTACACAACTACAAAATCTAACCATCGGGAGCAATGAAAAAGATAAGCCACAACACAAAACGTCCTACATTTCACCATGATTTCTCGACGGGGAGCAACCAGTGTAAAGAGAGAGGGAGACCAATACTACTGTCACAAAGAAACTGCTGTGGCCCCTGCAGCATAAATACCTACTTTGGGCAAACTCTTTTTCAATATTGATGGCTATTGTCAGGGATGTGGGAGAGTGGTGCCGCTCTCCTTAGGAAAAAACCACAACTGTTTTCACAAAAGGACTGCAGAATATATGCTTAGAGGCAAGGCTGTGGGTGCAGGTTAATCCCAATATTTTTTTTCCCTTTCCATATTGAATTGATAGCAGCAAAGGAAACACAAGACAGGTATCAGGATGATGACCTAGCAGAGAACAGCCTTTCACTGGCAAGCAAGGACACAGAACATCACAAAGCACTCGTGCAGAATGCAATATAGGATAGACGCCCAAGGTCCAATTCATTCGTAACACCGCAAAAGAAAGGGACGTGCTGTCATTGTTTTAAGTTAGCCAAACTGCTTAGGAAGCTGGTTTTCTCCATACTGCAAGGCATCTGCATGGTTCTGCTTACAGGAGGCTGACATGCCGCTAGGGTGATGGATGAACTCAAATCAGAGATGCTACGCATGAGGAAGACAGGAGAGGGGTGCACACGTACCGCTGGGATCAGGGCCAAGGAAAGGAGGGCAAAGGGTGGGCAGAAAAGGCTCACAAATTAACAGAAATTAATATCTCCTTCATGCACAGGAGAGGGGGCTGCCGTCTTTAAAAAATAGGCAAATTAAAGATTAGTTGCTACGGGGAGAGCCACAGTTCCCTTTGGTAGTTCCGACAATATCACTAGGTAGCATCCTCTCCTCTCACTGGGCATTGATGGAGGAGCCAGGTAGTGTAATGGAAAATGGGAACTTGGCAAACAGATCTCTCCATCCCAAAGCCCTGACCGCCGCAAGACAGCAACTATTCGTTCCCCCAACGGATTAAATAAAACAACAGTAATAATTAATTTAAAATAAAGGTGCAAGGAATGATGGCATGAGATTATGTGGCTTGTTGTCCAGTTCTTCCTCCCTCTTCTTGCTTCTGTCTGACGCAGAAACGCCCTCCCAGAACAGTCATTTCAGGCCATCGCAACTGTGAGGACAGCGGCCGAGGGGCTCATTTGCCGTACACGCTTTCGTCACTGTAAGCCACATACAGAAAATAATCCTCCTCGTGATTATCCTGGGGAAATAAAAATGTGGGGTGGGAGGAAAGAGAGGAGCAGAAGTCAACATCATTGTAATCTAAATAATAATAAATAATAATAATAATAATACAGTGGAACCTTGGGTTGTGGATATAATCCATGACGGAGGCACATCTGCAACCGGCCGTGTTCGCATCCTTAAGTGCCACGTCTGCGCCGGTGTGATTTGGCGCTTCTGCACATGCGCAAGCAGCGAAACCCGGAAGTAACCCATTCCGGTGCTTCCGGGTTTCCCGTGGTGTGCAACCCGAAAACACGTAACCTGAAGTGTCCGTAACACCGTATGACTGTACAGTGGTACCTCGGGTTACATACACTTCAGGTTACATACGCTTCAGGTGACAGACTCCACTAACCCAGAAATAGTACCTCGGGTTAAGAACTTTGCTTCAGGATGAGAACAGAAATCGTGCTCCGGCAGCACGGCAGCAGCGGGAGGCCCCATTAGCTAAAGTGGTGCATCAGGTTAAGAACAGTTTCAGGATAAGAACAGACCTCCAGAACGAATTAAGTACTTAACCCGAGGTACCACTGTAATGATAATTTATTTATACCCCGCCCAACAGAATATTAAAAACACAATAAAATATCAAACATTAAAAACTTCCCTAAACAGGGCTGCCTTCAGATGTCTTCTAACGAAAAGTCAGATAGTTGATTATTTCCTTGACATCTGATGGGAGGGTGTTCCACAGGGCAGGCGCCACTACTGGGAAAGCCCTCTGCCTGATTCCCTGTAACCTCATTTCTCGCAGTGAGGGAACCGCCAGAAGGCCCTCAGAGCTGGACCTCAGTGTCTGGGCTGAAGACGCTCCTTCAGGTATACTGGGCTGAGGCCGTTTAGGGCTTTAAAGGTCAGCACCAACACTTTGAATTAGGCTCAAGAATGCTGGTCAAATGAGGCTGGTTATCCCACATTCTGAACCAAAGTAAGATGTTTTTCCATTTAGCTAGGTGCAAGCTATTTGTAAAACAGCAATGCTTAAATGTTTGCAATATCTTTGCAAGGGTGGATGATAGGGAGAAAACAAAGACTGGTCCATGCCCCTGTGAGCTCTCATTGGCCACATCCCTATGACTTCTTGATAGCTCCATTGGGTCTAGTGGGCACCAGCTGCCACCGGTTCTCCCCCTGCTGTCAGCACTTTGAATTGTGCTCGGAAATGTGCTGGGAGCCAACGTTATTCCTTGGTGTGGAGGAGGAGATAGGCTGTATGGAGAGATCCTTCTAACCTTTGGATCCAGCAACTGTTTAAAGATAAGCCAGGCTAGCTTCCTCTGTTGGGGGAGATAGGCTCTGTGATGGGCCATTAAGGGAAACCAAGGAAAGGGGCTCTGTGTGAGCCACTAAATGAATGACACACACACACCCAAGCTCATGGCCAGTTAGAAGACAAAGCCAGAGTTTGGAGTGCAGTTTGGCAGCGATGTGACACAGAAGTAAAGCAGCAAGCTGGAGAGAGAAAGAGTCAGAGCAACGCTTGAGAGCAATGTTTGATTTCTGTTTGAATCCAAGTCTGGGAGAAACAAGACCCTCTTGGGGTGCTGATGCTGTAAGGTAAAGGTAAAGGGACCCCTGACCATTAGGTCCAGTCGCGGATGACTTTGGGGTTACAGCGCTCATCTCACTTTATTGGCCGAGGGAGCCGGCGTACAGCTTCCGGGTCATGTGGCCAACAGGACTAGACCGCTTCTGGCGAACCTGAGCAGCGCACAGAAACGCCGTTTACTTTCCCACCGTAGCAGTACCTATTTATCTACTTGCACTTTGATGTGCTTTCGAACTGCTAGGTTGGCAGGAGCAGGGACCGAGCAATGGGAGCTCACCCCGTCGCGGGGATTCGAACTGCCGACCTTCTGATCGGCAAGTCCTAGGCTCTGTGGTTTAACCCACAGTGCCACCCGCATTCCGCTGATGCTATAGATATGTGTAAATAAGCCATCTATCATAAAGACACCGCAGTCTCTGCTGTGCTTCATTCCCCAAAGGAAAACACAAACCCTGGGTAAGCGTGCCTGGAGCCTCTGGAATCTCGCACCTCTTGGAGAGGTCATAAAAAAGAGTGCCTGGGCCAACCCAGTCAGATGAGCAGGGTACAAATAATCATCATCATCATTTTTATTTCTCTGACACTGACAAAGTTTCTCCTCCTCTTGATGTTGAAATATCTTTTAATTATAGACGGGCCGGCATCACTCTCTAGATATCAGATGGTATTGCGTTCCAAGGAAAGCTCCGAGCAACACAAGCTATTCAGCTGAATTTGGCTACCGATCAGCCCAGGAATTAATTCAGAAGTTTAGTCTAAGCATCTCCAGGATATGACCTTAATAGCTTGCCCTGGAGGATGACACCTCCCTGTTTGGTTAATAATAGAAAATGTCCTTTAGGCAGGCAAGATAATTAATTAGTAACTAGGTTTCCTAATTCTCCTTCCTCAGAGGGAATATTTTCTTTCTTGGTTTTTTTGGGTGGTTTTTTTTGGGGGGAGGGGGTTGCAGATTAATGAAGAGTTTGTTGCATTATTTAATTATTTTACTGCATTTTCTTACATTTGTTTCCTGGAAGAAAGTGTGGTACGTGTGTTTTCCAGCCAGGAACTGACCAGACCTGTTGAGTTTTAACCAGGTGGTGGCTTCATGTGCCTTCATACCATACTCTTGGGACAATCTTCTGAACTAAGACAGTTCGGAGGAGTCTACAGCCTCTTGCAAGTTTGCAAGTTTTCAGCCTTTCGTTCCATACTGCCCACAGAACCAGAATGTGTCATGCAACAAGCTATTATTAAGCTCCAGGAAGTCCACCATTAGGATGGAATGACAGCCTCTTACTTCGTACAGCTGGCCCATCGTAGCGCTGGTGGGAGGAATGGTGTTGTTGACAAAGAAGAACAGGGCGTCCTCTGGCCTCAGGTGGATTCGCTTTCGGATCAAGAAGTAGAATTGGCCAACTACAGTTGGTGGGGAGAGGAAGAGTTAAAAAAAAAAAGCCATATTTCAAAACCCTGTACAGCATGGGTACGCAAACTAAGGCCCAGGGGTTGGATCCGGCCCAATCGCCTTCTAAATCCGGCCTGAGGATGGTCCAGGGATCAGCGTAGTTTTTACATGAGTAGAATGTGTCCTTTTATTTAAAACACAACTCTAGGTTATTTGTGGGGCAGAAAGAAGATATCAGTATGAAATGGCAATGCCAACAGGAACTGTACATTGTAATCGTTGTAATCGTTGTACTTGACAATCTTTGGACCTGACTATCCTTGGACTTTAATAATAATAATAAATTTTATTTATATCCCGCCCTCCCCAGCCGAAGCTTGGCTCAGGGCGGCTAACAACAATCAAAATAGTCCGACATTCTAAAAACATTCATTATAAAATTAATTAAATCAAATTAAAATCAAATTAATGGCAACCATCAAGCAAAATTCTGTGCAGATTGCCGATTGCCAGAGGCCTGCGCCCTGACCAAAGGCCTGGTGGAACAGCTCTGTCTTGCAGGCCCTGCGGAAGGATGTCAGGTCCTGCAGGGCCCTAGTCTCTTGTGACAGAGCGTTCCACCAGATTGGAGCCGCGGCCGAGAAGGCCATGGCTCTAGTTGAGGCCAGCCTAACCTCTCTGTGGCCTGGGATCTTTAGAATGTTTTTATTTGCAGACCGTAAATTTCTCTGTGGGACATACCTTACGTACGAATGTGGGACATACCTTTACGTACGAATTAAGTATGTAACCAGAGGTACCACTGTAATACAACCTAGGAAAGTTATAAGTGCCATCATGGTGAAATTTAAATTCAGAACTGCAATTTCCCCACTGATCAATCTTATTTAGATTTGTTTTATAGAACCAGAAAAGAATAAATACTTGGTATGCAAGAGGATAAATGGCCAGGATACAATTCTTTGCTGGGGGGGGGGGGGCAAAGTAACCACAAGGTTAGCTTTGTTTTGTTATTTTGGTCCTAATTGGGGGATGACAACTAGCAGATGGATGGCCTGTAATCTCTATTCTAGATGCTTAGCAGCTGAGAAATCTGAACGATGGCAACTGTTGTAAACAAAAATTGCCCTTTTCCCTTATGGGGTATCCAAGAGCCCATATAGAGTCCTTACATAGGTTCCCTATTGGTAGGAGAAAATAACAGAGGCCAACCAGAGAATTTTGAGAAGCAAAGCAGCTAGTAAGCTTGATCTTTATTGATCTGTTGCAACAGGGTGCTCCCCTCACCCACAGGAGGAGGAACCCAGAAAAATGGCGCACAAGGCCTTATAAAGACTTTTGAAATTGCCACCCTCTAGATCAAGACCACCCCCCAGATACATCATACCTATATCACAGAAAAGGGGGTCTAAAACAGAAAGTTGAATATTGTTTTTCTCCTGTTGTTGTTTATCTCCTGTCTGGCAGGTTACTTGATTGGATTGCCTGGGGAGCCTGGTCATTCTTTTGTAGTGATAAATGAGTTCCTGGGCCAGGTCACAGGCTCACACCCTATTCATATCTTAAATGTGCCCTTAAGACAGGATTTGCGAGGAAAGAGACAATGGGGAGGTTTCCCACTTTGACCTTGCAGAGAAAACATTTGGTCACTTTAGGAATCAAAATGGTTCCAGCTTGGCCTTCCTGTGCTGATCTATGTATGTGCTTGGTTGGTACACTTATGAACATTACCATATATCTAAGACCATAAAATTCCTATCACACAACCTGTTAAGGTTATTTTCAAGAACAGCTGGATACGTTCACCCAAGGTGCGGAGAACCACTGAGCTAAAATTCCATGAAACTGCATTCACCAGAGTTTCTCACGCTGTGCTATGAAGATAACAAAACATTTTCCCGAAGGCAATGAGACCGAGGGAAAGAGGAGGCCACCAACTCTATCACTTGTTGAAAAACCTTCCTTAAATACCAATGCAAAAATAGATTACGAAATGTGACTTGTTTACCTGTGAGATCAGATGGGACAAGGTACTTCCTCTTGTCCAGATCGGGTACTCTGGCTTTGGGTGCCTTCTCCACAATAACCTGGACAAAAAAAGGAACAGGAAGAAAAATAAGAACAAAGAGAACAAGAGAAGCTATTCCACCTTTCCCTGTGCCTGCAAATTCTCCCTGTAGAGCTTAATAAGGAAAGGATGCATGTCAAAATTCAAGCTATGTAAAACAGCAATGTGAGGGTGCACAGTTGGATTAGAAAGAAAATATCCCATGAACTTTCCACTGTAGGAACACAAGTCGCATAACAAGAAAAATAGCAACAAGCAATGATTGTTTACATCCACAAACATTTGACTCCTCTTCATAGTTTCTAAGGCTACCTGATACTTATATATAAATAAATCTGAGTTATTCATACGCAACTTCATTCAGTCTATTAAAGCTGCTGTTTTGAACATGCATTATACACACACACACACACTGCTGCTAGTGGGTCTAAACATCAAAATCAGTTTTGAACTTTAATTATTATACATATTTTTTCTCTCAGAAATGTTTCTAATTTTGTGTTAGTACAGAGTGACTCTGAATATATTGCAAAAGAAATTACTTAAACAACTTTACATTTGCCTGCAAAACTTCAAAACAACTGCTTTCAGATACACTGGTGGCAAAATGTGTTGTCCTTGACCCAAAATGTGCTGTCCTTGACCCAATATATCTCTATCTAGACACCATTTTTAAAAAACTTTCCTTGGGCTGCCTCTAAGGGAAAGCTTGTTGAAATTACTGTGTGGTGCAGACCCACTGCATCTTTCACCTCGCAAATTTTCCTCACTTGAGCCTACTTTTATCCTTCACCTTTTATATCAGAACAAGTCTCAAATCTTTGTCTCAGTAACATGGCCATGGAACATTTATTTACCTCCACTGAACAAGTTTAAAATGCCCCCGACTCCATGAATTAGCCAAATTTAAAAACAACAACAACCCAACAACCGTTGAATTGTTAGCTTTCCTAATTTCCCACAGCAGGCATTCCATGGGGTCAGGTTGGTCACTGCATGAAAACCTGTCCATTTCATTAGTTTCCCCTAGTTCATATAACAAGACATATATATTGAAGTTTATAGACCTAACTGGTGCAGAGAGAGAGAGAGAGAAAGTGTGTGTGTGTGTACAGGGGTAGGAAACCAATGAGTTAAGAGACAAAGGAATTGGGGGGGGGGAGGGGAGTAGGGCTGGATCCAGTGGGAGCTAAGGCCCTGCACATGTATTTTTCACATTGCAAAGAGCACCAAGGAAGGTGCTTGGAGGCACAATGAGATAATCCTGTTCATTTGCATTATTTCTTCTGAAATTAAGGGGGACCACTGAAAGTATCTTGCACAGGGACCCTGCAAAATCCTGGACCACCAGTCCAAGAGGACATGCACTATGGAGTACAAAAACAAACAAGGTGGTTAGCGATGCAGCCTTCTTGAGTTAGTAAAATATAAGATCACAAAGACATTTGAGCTGAAAGATATAATCTCATCTATTGCCACCTCTTTCTCGTCCCTTGTCCTCTCTTATCCCTAATTTAAAACTCTGCAATGTTTTATTTTGTTTTTTTTTAAAATATTGCTGCAGAAAGCAAAGATCTCATAAACAGAATAGCAAACTCAGTTCACTCTGGGGGGATCATAATGTAGCCATGCACAGGAGGGAGACTTGGGGGAACCCCAAGAGCTGCAAAAGTAGCAGGGGGGGGGACTCAGTGCAGTGAGAACTGAGCATGTGCAAAGGGCACAGAATGATGACCAAGGATGCAGAATAGGAAACAGGAGAGGAAGAGGAATGGAAAGAAACAGAATGTTTAGGAAGCATGGCTGGCTGGCTGGCTCCTCCTGAACAGGAACCTTCCACGAGGCAATCATTTTGTTGCAGGCCCTACTTGTTTTGCAGAAAACAAAGATAACGCAGGCTCTTGGCAGATATGTCTGTCGTTAGGTAGCATCTTCTGGGGCCACGGATCTGTTATAGAAAGGAAAAGGGTGCATGCTGGGTGCACTGCAGTGGAAAAGCCGGTGGAACTGAAACCAGCCTTCAGAAGAGAGGAAACGCAAGGATGCTCTGGCCTGCACTTGCCATTCGTTTCAAAGGATCTTCCCACACAGACTATTGTAGCTTTTGGTACATGAAACCTGTGCTTTGCCAGTGTGGATTTTATTTCCGGTACAGGCCAGAGGGAGCCTCACCAGACACCTTCTGCATGGAGCTGAGAAACGCCCTGCACAGTCACACAACAACAAAAACAAAGGCCTCAGACGGGATCCGTCTTCCATTCTTCCTGGAAATGAAGCGCCATACTAGGCCAAAAGCTCTTGCCACAAACTCGGCTGCCTTATGCTTTTCCCACACAGCCCTATTCCAGCCTTGGCCTAATCCCCTACTTTTCCAGCTCTCGGTTCCACAGTCTGTTCTTCTTGTTCTGAGATTGTTTACCGCTTTATCATCACCATCATCATGCCAGACATTCCTCCCCAGGAATTCCCCTTGGGCTGATGTACTGCAAGTGCCACAGAGATTGCCGCACTGATCTGATCCTGTGTCATCACCCTTCAATGTGGGAACACCCCCATTCCCCAGGCTAAGTTGTTGCCAAGAACATCTGACAGGTTGTGAGTATTTCGACACAAGTATCCAACCGCTCCTATAAGGCAATCTCAGTTTGCCCATCTGCCAACCAGGGAGAAAAACAACATTAATGAAACTATCTTGGCGGCAAGTGGAGGAGAACCCACACATGACGAAGGAGGAAAACAATACAGTAATAGCTGCGATTTGATCGTTTGAATTGAAGCTCATTTCGTTCCGGCTTATACAAATATCCCAAGTCATGGCAAAATTGTGAAGCAAGGTGCGCACTGCTGCAATCACGGATTGATTTGAAGGGCCAGAAAAAGATGGGGCAAAACAGAGGCGCTTGTGAGACCATGACTTTGCTTTTCCTGTGTCCTCCCCGCTCCAGTCGCCTGCTTATTACTCTGGCACTGAAGGACCAGGAGATGGAGAGGCTTCAAAAGCAGGCCAGAATCTAGGGGAGGGGGAAAGCGATGCATCTCAACATTTGGGATGGTGGAGGGGGGAGAGCTCCTGAATCTCCTTCTGAAGGTGACATCATTAACACATCCATTGTCCTTCCTGCCTCCATGTTTGCTTGGCGGCGCGTGGGGGGGGGTGACGAGGGAGGTGGCACAGGGGAATTTAACTCCTTCCTCTCCACCAGACCTCAAGTCCAGGAAAGCGCAGGAGCCTTTGCATTCCGGCCCTCAAATATTGGGGACCTGGCAGGCCAAAGGCACCCGTCTCCTCCCTCCCTTAAATCTTTACGCCTGATCCCCCCGCCTCCAAGCAAACCCCCAGCCAAGATCATGCACACACAAAAAAGGCACAAATTATTGCGGCACTCACAGGCACCCGATCTGGATATTTCTTCCGGATTTTCTCCCCTTCTTTTTTCCTGTACTCGAAAGGGTGGTCTTCCTTGTACTGGAACTTCATGGCTTGTCCCAAGACGCCAAGTTTCTTCTTTTCTTTCCCACCCCCTCTTTTCCTCCTTTTCTCTCTCTTCCCCTCCGAACCGGCAGCTCGCAATGCCTGCAAGGATCTGGCGGACGAAAAGCGATCCCGACGCTGCAGCCCCGCGCGCGATCCACTCGCTCGCTTGTTTCTCCAGCAGCTGATCAAAGGCCACTCAGTGCGCACGCGCACGCCTTCCGAGCCCCGGGCATTGTGACGTCGCCGGCGCCGAATCTGCATCGGCCTCCCGCCGGCCCGCCTCTTAGATTGCACCATCGCAAGGGCTGCGAGCGGGGAGGGCCGTCCGCCTGCAAAAATACACGCCGAGTCTCTCGGCTGAAGCTCCGGCAGCTCCGTCCTCGAGAAGATCGCCGTCCTGGTGCCACAACCAAGTGCTTTGCAGTTCTGCTGGCAGTTAACGGAGAAGGGTGGCAAAAGCGTCCCATTTCTTTGGTCAGCAACCCTCGGGGTGGTCGGTGGAGCGCTCCCACTGCCCCCATTAAGGGAGCTGCGAAGTCCCGTCTTAGCTGGTGGGAAAGTTATACCATAAAATGTAAAACAGTAAATTGATGGTGATAAGTATACACACTCACAGGTGTTTTGCATGCAATAGTATAGATATAAATCTGGGCATGTGGATATAAATAGATATCAACCTTGTTTTTGAAAAATTTATTGACATGTTTATAATATAAAAAGGTAAAGGTACCCCTGCCCGTACAGGCCAGTCTTGACAGACTCTGGGGTTGTGCGCCCATCTCACTTAAGAGGCCAGGGGCCAGCGCTGTCCGTAGACACTTCTGGGTCACGTGGCCAGCGTGACAAAGCTGCATCTGGCGAGCCAGCGCAGCACACGGAAACGCCGTTTACCTTCCCGCCAGTAAGCGGTCCCTATTTATCTACTTGCACCTGGGGGTGCTTTCGAACTGCTAGGTTGGCAGGCGCTGGGACCGAGCAACGGGAGCGCACCCCGCCGCGGGGATTCGAACCGCCGACCTTTCGATCGGCAAGCCCTAGGCGCTGAGGCTTTTACCCACAGCGCCACCCGTTTATAATATAGGTAAAGGTAAAGGGACCTCTGACCATTAGGTCCAGTCGTGGCCAATTCTGGGGTTGTGGCGCTCATCTCGCTTTATTGGCCGAGGGAGCTGGCGTACAGCTTCCGGGTCATGTGGCCAGCATGACTAAGCCGCTTCTGGCAAACCAGAGCAGCGCACGGAAACGCCATTTAACTTCCCGCCGGAGCGGTACCTATTTATCTACTTGCACTTTGATGTGCTTTCGAACTGCTAGGTTGGCAGGAGCAGGGACTGAGCAATGGGAGCTCACCCCGTTGCAGGGATTTGAACCACAAACCTTCTGATCAGCAAGTTAAACCACAGAGCCACCCGCGTCCCTTAATTATAGAGATAGAACTACCTAAATTGTATAGAAATTTATTCATGTATGTGACTACAGCGGCAAGAATGCTACTTGCCCAAAAATGGATAGAAGCAGAAGTCCCAGCAAAGGAAGAATGGATACAAAGACTTATGGAATATGCAGAAATGGTGAAACTTATCAGAAGAATAAGAAATCAAGATAACAAACTTTTTATAAAAGAATGGAAATGGTTTATTGAATATTTACAGATAATTGTAAACAGATAAAGACAGTGGCAGGATTATTGTAATAACCTGCAGTTACATAAGTGTGTGTGTGTGTGTGTGATAAATAAAAGAATAAGTTAATTTGGATAGGCATGTATTTGACAAGTGCCAGAGTGCATGGAAATGCTGTTTACCTTCCCGCCGCAGTGGTGCCTATTTATCTGCCTGCACAGGGATGCTTTCAAACAGCTAGGTTGGCAGGAGCTGGGACAGAGCAATTGGAATTCCCTCCGTCGCAGTGATTCGAACTGCCGACCTGCTGGCTGTTCTTTCCAAGAGGGAGAGGGCAGGTGGGCAAGCCGTGCAGGTGGCTGCTCCTAGTCGCTGCCATTTGTATACAAACAAGCAAAATTGTGACCTATGAGAACAGCGGCTAGACAGGATAGGTTTAAACTGGGGATGTGTCCTTCCGTGTTTTTGTAGCCAGAAAGAGAAATCTAACTACAGTCTCTGTTAATCATTTGCTCGGATTGGGCAAAAGGTAGGCCATGCAAGCCTAGCAGGTTTTCCAAAAGCTTCTCGTGCCTATGGGGGCAATCCTATGGCGAGATGGCCACCTGTCATGGATGCTTTAGTTGAGATTCCTACATTGCACGGGGTTGGACTAGATGACCCTCGGGTTCCCTTCCAACTCTACAATTCTCTGATTCTGTGGTTCTGGGCATGGCATGGCAGTCAGAAGCAGCCATCCTTGCTGCTCAGGGTAGCCCATCCATGAGACAAACTGAGACAGCCACCTTAGGCAGAGGAATCCACGGGGTGCCTCCATTGGTGTGCCCCCCTCACCGCTGTCCTCTCTGTCAGAGAAGCAGCTATGGTGGCTTCCAGGTTCCAATGATACCTTGTTTACCCCTTACTCAAGGAAACAAGGGCGGCTCAAGGAAGCCAGGCCCAGTGAGCACAGGAACTTGCCCTGGTCAATCTTGCCCCATGAGACTAAAGGCCTTTCCACAGTTACCGAATTCTCCTCCTCTCCCAGATCTTTCCCAAGCAATCTGAGACAGTCGTCATGCCTGTCTTTGCTCCTCTCTCTTCATACCTCTTCTGGTTCTGGGAGAACAGTAGGGAAGGGAGCTGGTCGCTGCAGGAGGAGGAAGCACGCTGCCTTCTTCACCAGCCTGACTCAACCCTTCCAAATCCAAAGTATCAGTGTTCTCTAGAAGTAACCAGTCTTTCAACCAGCAGAAAGCTTCTGATTCATAATACAGTTTCATGTCTGGCAGGGCAAACCCCCCTCTCTCTTTAGCATCAGTCAATATTTTAAATTTTATTCTGGGCTTTTTGCCCTGCCAGACAAACTTAGAAATATCTCTCTGCCACCCCTTGAAACAGTCCATCCTGTCCACAATCTGCAAAGTTTGAAACAAAAACAACATTTTTGGCAATACATTCATCTTTATAGCAGCAATTCGACCCAACAAGGACAGCTTCAATTTGGACCAAATTTCTAAATCTTTTTTAATCTCTGACCAACATTTTTCATAATTATCTTTAAATAGATTCAGATTTTTGGCCGTCATATTTATCCCTAGGTATTTAACTTTCTTCACCACATTTAAATTTGTCTCCTTCTGAAACCTTTCTTTTTCCATTGTTGTCAAATTTTTCTCCAGAACCTTAGTTCTGACTCATCCCTGCCTTTTGAACACCCTCCTCTCCAGCTTCCGCTTCTGCCTCTGGTTCCGGACTTCTCTCTGTCGCAGACTCTCTCTGCTCACTAAGCCCTGTTACCTCTTCAGCTTCAGACACTTCCTCCCAGTCTGCTCCCTCTTCTTCCCCTGACCACTCATTATAGTCCCACCACCAATCCCCAGGCTCTAAGCCTTCTTCCCTTGGGGGTTCCCCAGCTGGTGCCTCCCTCCACACCTCTGCACCCAACCAAGTCCATGACAGGGGCCTTGCTTAGAGTGTTTGACTGACACAGGAGGCCAGGGCTCACTCAGCCATCAAGCTCAATGGGTGAACTTGGGTCCGTCACAGTATCTCAGCCTAACCTACCTCTCAGCGTTGTTAGGGAGGAGGAGAACCATAAACATCAGCCTTGGAGGAAAGGTGGGATAGAAATGGAACAAACACATAAACGATGCAAGGATTCTTAACCAGCGTTTTCTTGCCTTAAAGCATGGGTTCCCAGATTTTGGTCCATGGACCAGCTTCATTCAGTTGGTCCACAGTAAAAGGTAACGGGACCCCTGACCATTAGGTCCAGTCGTGGCCGACTCTGGGGTTGCGGTGCTCATCTCGCTTTATTGGCCAAGGGAGCCGGCGTACAGCATGTGGCCAGCATGACTAAGCCGCTTCTGGCAAACCAGAGCAGCGCACAGAATCGCCGTTTACCTTCCCACCAGAGCGGTACCTATTTATCTACTTGCACTTTGACGTGCTTTCGAACTGCTAGGTTGGCAGGAGTAGGGACAGAGCAAAGGGAGCTCACCCCGTCGCGGGGATTCGAACCGCCGACCTTCTGATCAGCAAGTCCTAGGCTCTGTGGTTTAAATCAGCGCCACCAGCGTCCCTTGGTCCACAGTACATATGCATTAAAAATTAACATTGATTTTTTAATTGTATTTTTGCTGCTATTCCCTATATTGTGTTTTCTTTTGTTGCCATTTGAATTCTACGGAATGCAAATGATAATACAATCAAATATGGTATTAAGAAATAAAACAGGCATTAAAAATACAGCTATAAAGAAAAAGCTATCTATCACAGGGCAATGCAATTGCTACAGCAGGGAGGAAAAATACTTAAGTGATCCACCAATACCATCAGCAATTTTCAAGTGATCCATGTGGGTGGGAGGGGGAGAGAGTTTGGGAACCACCAGATTTCAGAAGCACATGTGGTTTTCAGTTGGACACCATCACCTAACACTCACCAGCTGAAATTGTCTGAGATCTTTGTTATTTCCTCCCCCCACCCCAATAATTTTTATTATTTTTTCCCAAATATCTTAAACACAATACAGCTTAACAATATTATTCTCCTTTCAATCTATATCTTATCCGAGTTAACTTCCCTCCACCCCTCTTCTGGCTTCTCTACTTTGCTATTGCTTAAGTGTGATTACTATGTATACATTCTATATATGTCTATAATTCCTTAATAATTTTTTGTATTATACTTTAGACATACCTTCCTTATTATATTACAGCATTACATCTTGTGGTCTAACCAAATGTTTTCAATAAAGGTTATGAGTTTAATTTCAGTCCTGTGGGTGTCTTTATTTATGTACAGTTTTCTCTTAAGTATACCATATATTTGGACCATTCTTGTTGGAATTTCTCATCGCCCTGCTGTCGGATTCATCCAGTTAGCCTTGCTATTTCCACAAAAAAGAAAAGAAAAAAGACTAAATAAATAAAATAAAAAAGATAAAAGGAGATCTTTGTTATCTCCATGCCACAGCACTGCAGATAAACACCTCCAGCTTTTCTTATAATTTGCAGTGCTGATCTAACTATCACATGCAGCACAGAACTGTCTCTTCCCTACTCGGCTGAGAATTAGCTACAATCACACAGATGTGGCTGGTGGGGGTGAAT